GAACAATCGTTCACTTAAAATACATAGCACATCAAGTGGCCCTCTAATTAGATATTTTAACTAGTTTTTATGATAACTTAGTGATGAACAGCAGAAGTTTAGATTCATTATTAAGAAAAAAAGTGTTCATTATTATCTATCAAGAAGTGACTGAAACTTCAATCTGTAGAGATTAAGATGAGACTATACCAGGCTTTTCTGACCTTATTCCATCCAAAAATGATAGCTCTGAACTCCTATTTCCATCGGGACATCTAGAAGAAAGAAGATGATTCTTGTTTTCTCTATTATAGTTTGCATTAGTTTTATTCTTGTGTTTACAATTTTCAATAAAATTGTATTTTCAGAAATAGAAGAAAGAAAATAAGTGGGCAAAGTCTGCTTTACAAAAATATATTCCTCCAAAAAATCAACTAGAATTAGGTAATTCTAGTTGTATTTTCCAATCTGAATGAGCCTTAGTACAATTATATGAAATGACATTTTTATTGTAAAAAATTAAATAGGCACTGGTATGTTAGTATCATATCATACATTATATCACATTTTATCAAAAGCTCTCTCTCTAACCCCTAATAAACAAATTGAAAGCTGCAGCCCAATGTAGAAAATCTATCCACATATTACATTCTCTCTCTTTGGGTATGCAATGTTATACAGAGCACAGGTTAAGATAATTTAAATGAATTACTCATGAGATATAAGAAAAAATGCAACTAAATCTCCTTTATACCAATATCATTCACTATACAGTCTATCTTCATAACCATCCTTATTTCCACCACATCACAGACTGAATTATATGTTGCCTTTTGTTCTTTAAACTTATTTCCCTCCCTGTTTTTTTGTTTTCTTTGTTTGTTTGTTTTTGAGGAGCTGATTTGGTCTTTCTCTTCTTCATCCATACATTTTTCCCTTATATTGCATTTGCAATTTAATCCTGATTCATTTGTTCTCTATGACCAAACCACAAATGTACTGTTATACTTGCCATTTAGGTTTGCATTTAATTCATATTCATTCAATATTAATTCTCAACCTTATCTCAACCCTCTCTCAACGCTATCTCTACACTTAAGTACTTCTATTCCCATTACATTATATCAGTGTTTATATTTCTCTTCTGAATGGCCTAATTGCCTTTTCTGTACTCTCCTGTCTCATTTCCACCCATTCATTCATGTAATCTATAGAATAATTTTTCACTCTTTTTTGCTAATTTTGCTAAAAAAAATTGCTAATTTTTGCTAGATTGCATCCATTCAGAATGTTTCCCCAAACTCATCACTTTTCCTTCCCCAAACTCATCACTTTTCCTTCCATTCACTGGAATGTAACATGCATCAGTTTGTTGATTCCCACTTTCACACATACCTATAACTTGTATGTCATACATCCGACATTTAACCCGTTATAATTACACATAAAATTTAACCCTTTTAGTTATAATTACACTTTTACTTCCCTGCATGGATTCATCTGCCCCATTTATAAAATCAGACCACCTTAATTCAAGTTGTATCTTTCAGACACTACAGTTATTACCCATCCACCAGGGCTTTAGTTATTTTGTACAATATAAGGTGGTCTATATAATGCTATAGAGAACTGGAAGCTTGGTTTCCTGGTTTCTAGTGCAGCACCTTAACTATTACACAAGACAGATTACAGTACAGGGGATCTACTTTCATTTTATCCCCACATCCCTATGAGATAAGCTGAGTTTAGAGAGACTGTCACAAAGTCATCCTATATCCTTCCATGGATGAGAGTAGATGAACCTGGCCTCCACAATCCTAGCACAACAGCTTTATTACCACACCATACTGACAGATTTTGTAGTTGAATTTCTGGTTGCTGTTTTTTGAGCCTCCTCTGTGGCAGCCATTGAAAATTTTCAGTTTCAAAATTAACTTATTAAAGCTTTAATTTGCCCAACCAATCTTGTCAATCTTGACTTGGCCTCTTCAGGGTCAAATTAAAAAAATATCAGCTACCCTTATTCTGAATTTGTGCCCGGTTCCAGTGCCTCCTGTTCTATATGTTGTTGCACCACTTTTTTCCAACCTAGAGATTTCATGTCATGTTCACAAAATGTCTGAGAGATATCCATATCCCTGCCCTCAGCTTCAAGGGGATCCAAGGAGATGCGCTTAGAACAATTATTCCCAAATTCACTTCTTCCGTCAACTAGGTCAGCGTAATCTTAAACAAAAAAATGCATGGTTGTACACAAAGAAAAAAAACCTCAGTTATAGCCTGCACAGAACAAGAAAACAAATGGAAAAAATATTCAAAGGCAAGGACTCTGAAATCAAGAGACTCCCTTTTTGTGACCAGATGCAAAGTTATATTGTTCAAGCAATTCTAATAACTAATTATTCAGCATCAAGTTTCTCTACCTCAAATTTCTTGGCTTCACAAATCACCAAACAAGTTCTCTGAAGAAGTACAGGTAGTCCTTGATTTGAGACCACAACTGAGATCAACGTTTTTATTACTAAGTAAAACAGTTGTTAAGTGAGTTTTGTCCCATTTTATGGCCTTTCTTGCCACAGTTGTTAAGTGAATCACTGCAGTTAAGTTAGTAGCACAGTTCTTAAGTGAATCTTTGCTTGTGAGAAGTTCACAAAAGGTGATTACATGACCCCAGAACACTGCAACTGTCATAAATATGAACCAGTTGCCAAGCGTCCAAATTTTGATCACATGACCCATGGGGATGCTGCAATGGTCGTAAGTGTGAAAAATGGTCATAAGACACGTTTTTCAGTCTTGTAACTTTGAACGGTCACCAAATGAATGGTTCTGAATTGATGACTACTATAATGTCAATAAGATTATTCTACAGTTATCAGATTTCCCAGGCTTTAAAAGTATTGATTAAAATCTCAAGGCTTCAACATTTTTTGTCAAGCATGAAAACATCCTAAACTGAGAAGGGATTAAATGTTCTGCTCTCTATCTTTGTTTTCATCAGTACTCACTGTCTAGAGAATACAACAATAGAGATGGCCTAATGGATTCCTTTTCCTTCCTCTAACTCAGGGCTTTTCAACCTTTTCACCCACTGTACCATTTTTAGGATTTGGCAACATCCGAGTACCACCAGTCACCTAGCAAGGTGTCAAAAACTTGATGACTAAAAAAAAAAAAGGAAAAAAGTGATAAAGTACAGGTAGTCCTTGACTTACAACAGTTCGCTTAGTGACTATCCAAAGTTACAACGGCACTGAAAAAAGTGCCCCCCAAACTACAGCCGAGCAAGACACCTGCCTGCTCGCCTGGCGATGCTCTTCCTCCTGTCCAAGGTTTTCATTGTTGTGAACATTTCTCTTGAGGATTGACAGTGGGGGTGGGGTGGAGGGTGTTTGATTTTTATTCCCCTCATCTGCTGGGTGGTTGCAGCAGGTGTTGGTCACCTCATATGACCCTGGGACACTGTGACTGTCATAAATATGAATCAGTTGCCAAATATCTGAATGTAAATCACAAGACCCTAGAGATGCTGCAACATTCCAGCTGATTGGCGCTTCTTCTGGGCTCAGCAGAAGCACCAGGATCAGCGCCAAGCTCCAGTTGGAGCTTGGTGCTGATCCTGGTGCTTCCACTGTGCCAACAGCCCCCCCAAAACACTGATCCTGGCGCTTCCACTGAGCCCTGACAGCCCTGCAGCTCCAGCCATCTCTTGCTCAGGCTTGTGCAGTACTGCCACCGGTTCAGCTCATTCCCCTCCCCCGCTACCATTTTTCTAGGATGGTCGTGTACCACCTGCCAGGTGCCAATGTACCACAGATGGTACCCATACCACTGGTTGAAAAGCATTGCTCTAACTTACCCAAGGTGATGTGAATGGGAAAATAGGGGAAGCTAACACAGCAAAGAAAAACTGAATACAGTACAGTAAAAAGATATGGAACAAGAAGTGTAATAGAAAACAAGAGGGCAATAAAGAAGAACTGCCCAAATATTAAAATATGTGTAGTTACAATTATAATTATACACTTCCAGTTCTATTGTTCTACATAGGCAGGCGCAGATATAAATTTCCCTTCTCATGTAACATACAGCCAGAAAACTAGAAATTTTGAAAGTGATCACCAAAAATATTTTCCCAATATGAAATGAAAAGGGTACAATAGTTTTTCTAAAAAAAAAACACCAATTGTTTCAGAACTGTAAATTCATTAATTTGAATCAGTTTCAGAAAAACTGTACAAGTTCTAAGGATGTAAGAAAAGTTATTTTAACATGAAATGTGAATTAACATTTTAAGTAATAAACATGAACTTGTATCATTTTATCACCCAACTATAAGTTTTCTTTGCCTTACTAAATTTCATCCTAGGTTCAGACACAGAGAACAAATCCATTCTTGCTGTCCACATGTTAGAGTTGTCCTAAAGATTGGTTAAGTTTATCATTTCTTCTATAATATTCTAATTCTATCTTAGACAAGATGAACCACATGTAAATCTAATAAATAAATTCACACAACTGTATCTCAATTAAACAGACCAAGATGTTTTGCCCCAGTTCCTTTGCTCTTCATAGCACACATACATAATGGATTAATTAATTAGATTTCTATTTACTCAAAAAAAATATTAGCTGTAGCATAAATTAGTATCTTAAATAGACTTCAAACTATGAAACCTAACAGATTAAAAAAAAAAAGAAATAATGGCTGATTGAAGGTTTCCTAGTTTAACAGTAATCCCCAAAGATGGTGTTTTGGGCCAGCAACTGTTTCATTCATATCTCACCTTATGTCTTAGGTCTGATGCCAAGATTATGCTCTGCAAATAATTGTCTGAATCCGTACCCCAGCTTAATATAGCTTTTTACACACATTAAATAAAGTGAAGGAAATGAAAAAATCTTAACTGCTCTTTTGTTAAAAAAAAACATTTTTAAAAATCTAAATATTTTAACATAAAGTTGACTATATTCACTCATGTAAGCAATAAAATATAAAAACAAAAAGTATAAATACTTACTAGATGAACATAAGGTATGAAATATCCAAATAAAGCAGCTGGAATCCCCAGAGCCCAGATTCTATAACTCAAAATTTTGAAAATGGAAAAATTGCACACTTGTTTTGCTGGAGGTAATTTGAACTTCTTCCCTTTTTCACTTTGTTTGGTACTAGGCATGAGAGGTTTGTAAGTAAAGCCAGCCAGGAAGAGAATAAACACAAAAATGCATAGGATTTGAAAAGTCCCAGAGAGGCCAACAGAAGTGACCAGTTCATTTAAAAGAAAAGGCAGTGTTATAGTGAACAAACTACTCCCAGCCGTAACAATGCCATTCACCAGTCCCAGACGCTTCTTGAAATAATGTCCCAAAATGACCAGGGATGGCTGATAGGTAAATGAACAGCCACAGCCAAACAAGATTCCATAGGTGAAATACAGAGGTCCAAGTGAACTACAACAAACAGAGAACAGGGTTAACTGTGGTCTTCTGCATATTTTCCTTTTTTATTTTTATCTTTCAGTGTTGTTTTATATTGACTTTTGGATATTGTTAGAAAATCAAAGATAATTTAGTTTATAAGTCATATCTAGAAAGCTATATTTCCATAATGTTTACATGTTTATCCCCAAAATATAACTTTGCATAGTTCAAACCAACGTTAATTATACATTAAATATATTTTCTGACTCTATGTTTTCCACATGGTTTGCATAATGAAGAAAAATATTTCTTGTGATATGGAAATTATAATTCTGTTACAGCCTAAAAATACAGTTGACCTTTTCTGCAGTCATATCACACTGTTGATTCATATTCAGGTTCTATTGCCATCATATACTAGATCATTTGGCTCCTATTTCCTAAGAGAAGAACACTAACAAAGTGTATGCTATATTTTATTTTGTTATTTTCATCCAATTTTTCTAATTTATGAAGATTAAATCAAACTGAATTTTATTTTTATCTTTCAAGTTTGCAGTCTCCAAACTTTTGATTGCATAAACTTATAAGTTAAAAAAAATGAGCATCCTCACTAGATATGTTCACTAGATATATTATTTATTTATAAATTACATCCATGCAGTAATATTGTAATATATTATGCACATTATAAAACATACGCCCAAAATATATATTTTAAAAGGATGAGATAAATATAGACATTCTATTCTTTCATGCACCTCAATGGATCATCTTATGCATATCCCATTTTTGAAATCAATCTGTATCATTTGATAAATGTACTGTTTATCTCTTCTGTGGCCATATAAAAAAGGCATCTTCTGAAAATTTCATTAGCTTACTGGAAGTGTCAAGGGAAGCTTCACAGCATAATTGAAACTCATGAATAGAAACTATTTCCAGCTACTGGAACTGGTAAATGAAGCTGAAAGCAAAGCCACACAATCACTGCATTTCCAGAAGTGATTAACTAAATAGATATGAGAAAATACCTCTACTAAGCATTCAGATGGGATATAAAGTGTTACTAGATGCACCATAAATGATGCAGGGATGCAAAATAGAGTATTCCCAATACTGTACACAATTTTGCAATCCCATGCCATTTTACAAATTACTCTGAACAATCTTTTCAAATTTGAAAAGGAAGATCTGAATGAGACATATGAAGGTAATCTTGAAGAAGGAAAGCAAGGGCAGTTACATAAGCATCAACTTAGTCCTGAAAGAGAAGAAAGTGTGACAAAGAAACTCAAGACTGTCTTGAGACTTCTCAGGGGAGAAAGAGAGAAACTGTCAAGCTTTCAAGATTCTGCTCTTATACACTACATCCATAAAGCAGAGTTTCTGTGATCTGTGTGGAATCTGTTTGCCTCAAACATTGACAAATAGGCAGTAAGAGCAGTCCTTGCAAAAATCTCACAATTTTCTTGAATATACAATAATCCCTGCAGTAAGATGTTTCCTCACTTTTAATACAAAAATAACATGGAGCAACATGGGAAAAGGTTCATTTACACAGAGGCCCACTTTACCTCAGAAATGGCTCCTTAAATCATGTCTGATGACAAAAAGGCAGCCAGAACAGATTGCGATCTTAAGAGTGCTGTTGGGTTCTAAAGTGCTAGGATAATACTTTAATACTTTGACAGTTTTAGTAAAATGTCATATTTGAAGTATTATCCTAACACTTTAGAACCCAACAGCACCCTTAAGATCATCATCTAATGATGGGAAGGTGGGAGGTGCAGCAGAAGAAATATTAGAGTTCTCAAAGGGGTGCCCCAAATATACTGCTAGAGGCCAGTTGCATTTCGAAAAGTCAGTGAAAATTACTATTCTTACCGTACAAAGGAGCTTGAAAGGAGCCCAACGAAAGCCACAGCTGCTCCTACTACAGCTACTTTTCGACAACCAAACATGTTGGTAAATACACTGACAATGGGAGAACAGAAGAAAATCATCCCCATCGACAAAGAATTCACCAATGCTGTAGAAAAGATTAAAAATTAAAATATATTTAGCATGGCAGGTTTGAGAATATGCAGTGTAATGTTTATTCCGGTTTTCAGGTAGCATGGAACAAAATCTGGCAGGCGAATATTAATTTGCATTTGGGAAAACCTCAAGCGGACTTGAAGTTTAACATTTTAAAAGATAGGAACTGGTATAGACATGTTTTATATAAATTTGTGAATACTTATAAAGCTATATTATAAAAATATATTGAAAAGCATTCTGAATCTTGGAAATGGGAGATATATAAATTATTCTACATGCATAAGTAAGTGTACAGATAAACCATCATTTGAAAGTATTTGTTTTCCATATCTTTTTTTAATGAGATTTTGAAGAGACAGAAATAATTTCTTGAGAATAAAAATGGATATTGTATAATTTTCCTACTTTCACAAAGACTGATACTGCAGAGATTGGAAAGATCCTTAATCAATTACGATAATCTGAATATCTTTTCTGTTCATATATCAACAGGCATTGTACTTCTCAGAGACTCTTCTGGAGGATAATTTAGAAACTGAGACTGCATGTTTAGCAGAACTATTTATAGAAGTTTTTATTGCTGATTTAATTGTTTTTATAAATAATTATAACTTGATATTAAAATATCTTAACAAGATGCTTCTTGTTTAATTAATCTGTAAGAGATAAATGCTTTTCATACTTTTCCTTCACACACAATAATGTTTCATACACAATACACACACACTCACACATACACACACACAAATACCGACATATAGAACTTATTTCCTGATTGTACAAATTGAATGACCGTAGGAAATATAACTTACATGAAAAAGAGGTTTAATGTGATTTTACTAGAAGTTGATTAGAAATCATATAGTTTTGCATTTTATAGATTAGAACTACAAGTATTTCTCACTTACTGATTGCAGTTGGGACCAGCAATTGTTAGGTGTAAATAATCAGGAATAGGAGTTGAGTTCAAAGCATTAAAAGTTCATTACATATTACCGACACACAAGAATCTGATCTACTAACTGTCAAACCAATTGGCACTAGATAAGGGTCAATGGAATTCACAGGGTCATTGTTGTCTTGTGAGACTATAACGACTCCAAATTGACGGCACCTTTGATCCCGCTCTCAGGCTCAGTCTGCTAATCTCTACAGTAATCCTGTCACTAAGCAATGCAGTCATAATGTAAAATATCATGTGATACCCAGCTTATGATGTTAGTTCCAGCTGCTACCATTAAGCAAATCACCTCAGTCAGTAAGAATGAAGCAATGTGACCACAACCTGAGACTTCCTGTTAGCTTTCCCACTGACTTTGCTTGTTGGAAGCAAGCTGTGAAGATCACAAATGGTGATCCTTGACCACGGGTACACTGTGACAGCCGTACATTAAAGGACTAGTCATAAATTTCTTTTTCAGTGCAAATGTACCTTTGAATGGTTGCTGAACAAATTGTCAATAAGCAAGGACTACTTGTAGTTTATAAAAAAGACTGTGAGCTGAGCTGAAATTCGCAATCCATTCCAATATATTATACCTGAACTCATGTTGCAAAATTAGGTTAAAACTATGGATGATGAAGTAATTATTTACAAACCAAACAGAATTCTTTATACTTTTTTTGAAAGAGAAAATACTTATTAAATACTTAGTAAAACTTTAGAGATAATCTTTATCAACTAATGTTGATTATAGTTACTGAATTAACTGTAATTCAAGAGCATGGTAATGAGTTTTAAAACTTTTTATGGCTTTCAACATGCATATCTGCAAGACTTGCCTGCTCCAAATGGAACCTGCCCATCGGATCATCTTCAAAGACCCACAGGTAAATCTTATCTATGGTAGATCTTCTACTTTGGAACAACTGGTCCGTCATCCTTATCAATGCTCTGTAGTGGTATTAAGATTCAGCTGTTTTAGAGCAGGGGTCCCCAACCTCCAGTCCATGGATCAGTCCCGGGCTGCGGCATGCCAGCAACCGGTCCGCAGAAACAAAGCCCCATCCACGGGATGTAGGCAGCATACAAAACCACGCCCTCTCCGGTCTGCAGGAAAACCTCTCTCCATGGAACTGGTCCCTGGTGCCCAAAAGATTGGGGACAGATGGACAGTTTTTTTGAAGCCAGGGCTGAATAACTCATTGCAAATAGTTTCAGCTCCAAGGGGTTATACAGTGAAGTCACTGTGGGTAGAGCCAAACACTCTTAATTTTTAAAAAAAGTTTTGTGGGGACAGTGGATTTTAAATGCAAAATAACTATGCTTTGGGAACTTAAAAAGGGTTAACAAAAAAACCAAAATCCTACACCACCCATCCAGAGTCAAAAGTTTTGCTGCTACATTTTGGGAGGCAGCAAAAGGCACCAGATGCCTTTGCCTCCCAACTGCTCTCTTCCAGATTACTATTCTTCCACAGCTCTCAATAGAAGGGAAGCAGGGCTCTGTCCCTCACATCCAGCTGTATGCTAATGAGCCGAAACTCTGGAACGATGCTGTTTATAAATTTTAACAATCAATCCCCATGAACTACAGAAAACTCAATTAATAGACTGCATTCTAAGGGTACACTTTTAAACCATTAAGATTCTAAACCTCATTAGACTCAAATGTAAAAAGTAATTTAGAGAAAATGAAGGGTGTAAAAGAGGTAAATATTTGGCACCTTAGAATCATAACGATATGAGGTCTTTCATAATTATACTGGTGGTCTTCAGTTAGCAGTTATTCAGTGACTATTCAAACTTATGACAGCACAGAGCAAGTAGTACTTACAAATACTCCCCCAAATTCTGGCTAACATAGACTTCCTGCAGTCATGTTATCAGGTTTTGAGTGCTCAGCAACTGAACCATATTGCCAACTTCTGCAGCATTCTGCAGTCACATAATCACAATTTGCAACTTTCCCTGTGAACTTTCCACAAAGTTGATGAGGAAGTCGGCAGGAAGTCAAAAATCACAGGCACGTGAAGTCCTTGCTTAACAAACCATGGTAATTCACTTAACCATGACAACCATGGACTGCCAGAACTATCATTACTAAGTGGCACCGTCACATAACGTTGTTGTTATTAGTTGCAAAGTCGTGTCCGACCCATCGCAACCCCATGGACAACGTTCCTCCAGGCCTTCCTGTCCTCTACCATCTTCTGGAGTCCATTTAAGCTCACACCTACTGCTTCAGTGACTCCATCCAGCCACCTCAATCTCTGTCGTCCCTTTCTTTTATTGCCCTCAATCTTTCCCAGCATCAGGCTCTTCTCCAGTGACTCCTTCCTTCTCGTTAGGTGGCCAAAGTATTCAACTTCAGGATCTGGCCTTCTAAGGAGTAGTCAGGGTTGATCTCTTCTAGGATTGACCGGTTTGAACGCAGGAGGGACTCGCAGGAGTCTTCTCCAGCACCATATTTCAAAGGCCTAAATTCTTTGGCGCTCAGCCTTTCTTATGGTCCAACTTTCATAGCCATACATTGCAACTGGGAAAACCATGGCCTTGACTATACATACTTTTGTTGGCAGGGTGAGGTCTCTGCTTTTTAGGGTGCTGTCTGGATTTGCCATGGCTTTCCTCCCCAGGAGCATGCATCTTTTAATTTCTTGGCTGCAGTCCCCATCTGCAGTGATCTTGGAGCCCAGGAAAATAAAATCTGTCACTACCTCCATTTCTTCCCCATCTATCTACCAGAATTGAGAGGGCCAGATGCCATGATTTTGGTTTTTTTGAGTTTCAAGCCAACTTTTGCACTCTCCATCTTCACCCACATCAAGAAGCTATTTAGTTCCTCTTCACTTTCTGCCATTAGAGTAGTATCATCTGCATATTTTAGGTTGTTGATATTTCTCCCGGCAATCTTAATTCCAACTTTTGATTCATCTAGCCCTGCCTTTCTCATGATGTGCTCTGCAAATAAGTTAAATAGGCAGGATGACAGTATACAGCCTTGCCGGACTCCTTTCCCAATTTTGAACCAATCAGTGGTTCTCTGTCCAGTTCTCACTGTTGCTTCTTTATGACTTTATGACTAAGTCAGTTACCAATGGAAAGTCTGGTCCCAATTACCATCATTAGGGACAGCTACCTGTTTCACACTTTTTAAGACTAAAGGCAAAATGGAATTGAGTATTTACGGGTGGGGCCTTCATCTACTTAAAAATATATTTTATTATGCTACCTATTCAATTTTTTTTTTCTGAAAGAGATTGAGTACCGTATATGCCGGCGTACAAGGCGACCCGGCGTATAAGACGACCCCCGTCTTTGGTGCCGAGTCGCATTCCTACAACGTCGTCTTATACGCCAGAAACTACCAGTATTTCCGGCGTATGACGACTCGGCGTATAAGACGACCCCTGTCTTTGGCGCCGATTTTAACGCTTGCGGAAGTCACCTTATACGCCAGCATATACGGTAATCTGCTTTTTCAACAGAGCCTGTATACCAGAAAGTAGCCCTCCCATAATTTTGATTATGCTGGCTGTGAAGTCTGTAAAAGCTATCATAAAGGGTATAGCAACACCATGCCCATTGGTTTTGCACAAGAATTAATAAGTAAATTTCATTGCCTTCTGCACAAGAATTAACTGTTATCACTATACACAGTTCACTGTATTTATTTTTTCCAAGAAAATATCGTCACTGTAAATTTGTCTCACAGGGCTGTTTTGGATCTAAAGTAAGGGAAACCACTCATACCCTATTCCCTTAAAATGATTTGAGCTCTCAGGAGAAAAGGCAGACTATAATTCAATCAGTCAATCAATCAGTCAGTCAATCAGTTAATCAAGCAGTGGTTTTTAACCCCAACCTTTAACATTATCTTTATTTCAGAATTAATATCATAATGGTTGTCGAAGGAATTAAAGTGTTAAAGTACAAACTCTTCTCTTCCTTAAAATGTTAAGCAGTTACATCAAGTAGCCCTTCCGTAATGTAGGTGTCCAAATGGAGACAGATCTGTTCAACTACATTCTTGAAGAATGAACCAAA